GGAAGAGATGCATGGAAATACTGTAACCAACTGACACACTTTCTACAATTTGTAATGGAAGATGGTTTTTTTTTTAGTTTGATGTTTGTTTGTCCTTGTTTAAAACCAAATAATTTTTTTTTTTTTAAAGAAGGGACTGGATAGCCAATTGCCTCAAATAGTATAAAATACTCCTCCTTTCTATAATGTTCATCTTCCCTCATCAGATAATCAGGGAAGATGAAAGAAACACTTTTTCACAGCTGGGACTTCCCTTTTGGAATAGCCTACTGTAAAAGTGAAAAAGTATAGCCCTTTAATGGCTGTTGGAGTTCAACTCCCAGAATACCTGGCACAGCTGGCTCAGGAATTCTGGGAGTTGAAGTCCACCAGTCCTAAAAGGGCCGCAGTTCCACAGGCCTGGCCTACAACTGTTCTCCATTTTAGGAGTTGTAAGATATGTGGACTTCAACACACCTGGGAAATTCTGGGAGCTGAAATCCACACATCACAACATGGCCCGAAGCCAAGGCGATACTTTTTTAAATGCACACAAGACTTTAAAAACGCAGTTAAATTGAACAATGAAAACAAATTCAGGGATTAAAAGAGGGAACAGAGATTAAAAGGCATCAAAAGGAGATGGACCTGATGCTCTGATTGCCACCTGCGAAAAGGGAAGGGAGGGACGGAGGGTGGGAGCTTCTTACCTGGCGCCCTCACGGAAAGGCGTCTCTGTTCCACGTTCCAAGAAATGCGCGCAAGAAAACACCCGCTTTCTTCACAGCCCCGCGGGCTAAGCTCCCTTCGTTCCCGGCCACGCACGTGTAAAGGCTTATAGCTCCTCCCCTCTCCGTCCAGCTCCTCCCATTCTCTAAAGGGCGGGGAACGCCGCTCACTGGGGGTCCCCATTGCTGCCGCTCCCCCGCCCCCGGGATGGGATGGTCAGCTGGGCAGCGAGTCCATTGCTTCTTTGCCCCAGACAATAGAAGAAACAGGGGAGAGAGGGAGGGAACGACGCCCAGGGATGGGAGAAGGGAAGGGTAGGGAACAGCTAAGATAGAAGGGAATCGCCCTTTTGGAAGAAAACTGGAGTAGGCAGGAAAAGGAGGCTGCCTTATTCACTGATCCTAACAAGGCAGTCCTCAACTGACATATGACCAACATTCATGATTGTGCCATAACAAATAATGGCTGCCTTACAAGTAGTCCTCGACTTAACGACCATTTGTTTAGTAGCCCTTCAAAGCTGCAACAGCCCTGGAAAAAGTGATGTATGTCCGTCACTCGCGCAAAAGACTGTTGCAGAATCCCCATGGTCACGTGAGACAAATTCAGCTGTTTGACCACTGACTCATATTTATGACGGTTGCCATGTCTCAGGGTCATATGGAGCTTCTGACAATGGGGAAGCCAGATTTGTTTAACAACCCTGTTACTGTTAACAACTGCGGTGATTCATGTGTTGGAAGAAATGTCCATTTGGGTTCTGTTCCAACTGGGGGGAAAAGACACTGGATTCAAGGAAGTTGCTTGGAAACAACAAAAACTGCTTTCTTTTGATATTATCCCCACTAAATGCAGAGTCAAAAGACCCCTTAATGCTTCATAAGAGAATCCCATCAATCATTCCGTTCTGAATAGGAAGAAACCCTCTAAGCAAGGAAAATTTTCATATCTAACTAAAAAGTCCTGAGCTACAAAGATGTAATTCCCTCCATTTAAACGTCTATGAACTACATAAGAGAAAGTGCTATTACACAGTTCAGATAGTCCTCGCCTTACAACGGTTCATATAGCGACCGTTTGAAGTTTCAACAGCACTGAAAAAAAGTAATTTACAACCCTTTTTCACACTTAACGACCATTGCAGCATCCCATGGTCACGTGATCAAAATTCAGAGACTTGGGAACTGAATCGCATGCATGACCATTGTAGGGTCCAGGGGTCACGTGATCAGCTCTTGCGACCCAGCAAAATCAATGGGAAAAACCAGATTCACTCAACACCCCTGTTACTAATTCAACAACTGCAGGGATTCGCTTAACAACAGAGGCAAGAAAAGTCACAAAATGGAGCAAAATTCACTTTTTCAAACATCTCTCTTAACAACAAACATTTCGGGCTCACTTGTGGTCATATGTGGAGGATTACCTGCCGAAGATATCTTAGTTAAACAGCTCCAAGCCTATCAGAGTATGTTTGAAGTCTGCAGAGAGAAAGTTCCTGGCTTATTCCCCATTTCCTCCTCAAGAATTTCTCTTGCCATCTGGTTGAAAGAAGGAAGGAGATCCTTCTGGACTCAAAAGGCACTTTGGGTTTTTCCTTACCTTTCCTGCTCCAGCTGCCTTATCGGATGTGCCCATGCCTCCAATTGAACACATTGAGGTGGAGATTGTAAGCAACAACTTTATTGTATAGAAAAAGTAACACAAGGAAATCTCTCTCACAGCCTTGGTACCCCAACGTCCACTGGAGGGTTTTACATAGAATTTGCCATACAGTTAACAAGTCAGAGTCAGAAGGAATTTTCTCATCTGCCTTTAGAGCACTTCCTGCCTCTTTTACACTAACATCTTAGCCTGCCTGCATCTATGTAATACAGTGCTCAGCCAAGCTATTTAAATCTAGCCTAATGTATGCAGAGAGAAACGTCAACACTTTTGTAAATGTCGCTTCGGCAGTGATATAGCATAGGTTTCCATGATACTTCCTATTTCCAGCACACTTCTTTCTTGAGGTATTCAAATCTCTCCTATTTGTGCCTTTTGCCCTTGTCCCATAGTACATTTGGGACTATTAGCAAACTGAGGCATTCATACATTTATTCTAAATTTACCTCTTAATTGAATCTCCATGGATCCTTCTATTTAGACAGGCATGGGGATTTGAGTCTCAAAATGCTTGTAAGAGCAAGGAAATTTGGACCATAATTTATCTCCATTTCCAGTGTGCTGGATGTCGAAAGACTTTACAGTAGGAAGGCAATAGAAACAACCACAGACCATAATTCCATCTCTAGGCCAAGGGTCTCCAAATCTGGCAACTTTAAAACCTTTGGATTTCAACTCCCAGAATTCCCCAGCAGGCATGGTAACACGTATGCCAGAGGAATTCTGGGAGTTGAAGTCCACAAGTCTTCAAATTGCCAGCTTTGGAGACCCCTAGAGTAGGTCCTGACCGATTTTGAGGTTAAGAAATTCTTTTCCTATGTTTTCCAAGGTGGGTTTCAATGAATTGGCAATTGTCAGTTAGACGGAAACACATTCTTAACATTTATGATTCTGCCTTAATAACAAATAATCAACTGCTGCTTTACAATTAGTACTCAACTTACAATCATTTCTTCAATGACCGTTTGAAGTTACAATGGCCCTGGGAAAAAAATGATTTATGGATTTCTTCACCCGACCTTTGAAGCATCTCCGTGTCACGTGAGCAAAATTTGGACACTTGGCAACTGGCCTGTGTTTTTGATATTTGGAGTGTCCCAGGGTAATGTGATCACCATTTGAAACATTCCAATAATCAAAGTCAATGGGGAAATCAGATTCACTTAACAACCATGTTACTAACTGAACCACTGTGGCAAAATAAGTAGAAACTAGAATAAAACTCATTTAATCACTGTCTTGCTTAGCCATGGAAATGTTGGGCTTAATTGTGGTCATGTCAAGGACCATGTATTTTCTAAAGCTAGTTCCCTAATTTCTCCAATTTACAGACTCAAAAAAGAGTATATCTGAGATGTATATGATAAGCCTTTAACTACTGTATAAGTTATGACATTAATAGAAATCAACTACAATCAATATCTTATCTCAGAAATCAGTTAAACACAACCAATGTTAGGTGGTGCAAACACAGAGCCATCCCTCCAGTTATTACTTTTGACAAAACTTTTGAGTCTCGTATTCGTTCAATATTTCATTCTCTTCCGTCACTTTCTCCCAGTGAAGTGCTCACTGAAGATCCTATTTCTATTTGATCTGGTGTGACTTTCTCCACATGGGTGTAGTAGATCCATTGCTTGATTCCTTCCGACACAAAAAAAATATGGGTGGTCAACACCACCAGGTCTGGAGCTCACCACTTAAGATTGCAATGTTTGCTCTTAAAATATTTCACCACCTTCCCTATATGATATCTAANGCAAGAACTATGCTAAAATGGCACAACAGTCACTTACCAAAAGTCACACTTAGCAACAGAAATTTTGGACAGAATGATGGTCATATATCGAGGACTACCTGTATTTGAAGTGTCAAGGGACATGTCTGAGAGCAATACAACTTTGAGATGTATTAGACAACCGCAATTCAATCCAAAAAAATCCACAAAAGTCACTTACCAAAAGTGACTTTTGCCTCCAGAAGCTGTGAATTCTCCAAGATTAGAAGTCTTTAAGATGTTGGATAGCCATTTGTCTAAAGTGGTGCAGTGTTTCCTGCCTAAACAGAGGGTTGGACTAGAGGACCTCCAAGGTCCCTTCCAATCTTATTCTAATATTATCGCCAATAAATGCAGAACCATTTAAACCAATTAATCATTCCATCTTGAAGCAGAAGAAAACTTCTGAGCTAGGAAATATTTAATATTTAACTATTTAAAAGGTCTGAGCTAAAAAATATTTCACTATTTAAAAGGTCTGAGCAGCGAAATTTTTAATCCCTCCATTTAAAAGGACCTATATGAAGTTCAGAAGAAAAACTACTTCTACACTGTACAGATAGTGCTTCACTTACATTTCATTTAGTGTCCGTTTGAAGTTACAACAGCCATTTTAAAAAAGTGAGTTATGACCCTTTTTCACACTTACGACTGTTCAAGCATCACCATGGACACGTGATCAACATCTTGGAAACTGACTCACATTTATGACCACTGCAGTGTCCTAGGGTCATGTGATCCCCTTTTACGACCTTCCGACAAGCGGTCAAGGGAAAAAACTAGATTCACTTAACAACTGTGGTATGGTCCCAAAATGGAGCAAACTGCACTTAACATGTCTCACTTAACAACAAAAATGTTCGGCTCAATTGTTGTAAGTCAAGGACTACCTGTACAAATTATTTCTCCTATAGTAAAACAGCTCCAAGCCTAACAGAGCATGCTTGAATTCTGCAGAGAGAAGGTTCCTGGCGTATTCCCCATTTCCTCCTCGAAAATTGCTCTTGCCATCTGGTTGAAAGAAGGAAGGAGATCCTTCTGGACTCAAAAGGCACTTTTGGTTTTTCCTTACCTTTCCTGCTCCAACCACCTTACCAGATGTGCCCATTCCTCCAATTGAACACATTGAGGTGGAGACTGTAAGCAACAACTTTATTGTGTAGAAAAAGTAACACAAGGAAATTTCTCCCAAAGCCATTGTACCGGAATTTTGGGAGTTGAAGTCCACAAGTCAAAAAAGGACCAAGGTTCCCCACCCCTGATGAGACACTGGCCTTCCAATTGTCGGAGGCCAAACAGTGCATCTGGCCTTGTTCTCTGGGAAACCTGAGCCTTCTCCAAGGAATCGTAGACCTCTTCGCCATCTTTCCCCTTTTGAGATTTTAACTTATGGACTTCAACTCCCAAAATTCCGCAGTCAGTATGGTAACATCTGTGCCAGAGGAATTCTGGGAGTTGAAGTCCACAAGTCTTAAACTACATTTGGAGACCCTAGTGTAGGTCCTGACTGATGTGGATGTTAAGAAATTCCTTCCCTATGTTTTCCAAGATGGTTTTCAAAAAATTGCCAATTGTCAGATAGACTGAAACAACACATTTCCTTAAATTCTTAACATTCATGATTCTGCTTTAATAACAAAGAATCAATTGCTGCTTTACAATTATTCCTCAACTTAAAATCGTTTCTTCGGTTAAAAAAAAATGATTTATGACATTTTTCTCACGACTGTTTCAGTGTCATATGATCAAAATTGTAGTCGTAAGTCAAGGGCCACCTGTATTTTCTAAAGCTTGATTCCCTGAAATGTCCAATTTATTGACCGAAAGCATCCAAAATATATAAGCTAAGCCTTTAACTACTGTATAGGTTAAGGCATTAATGGAAGAAAAAAACCACAATCAATATCATATCTCAGACAAGAAATCACTTAAACACAACCAAATTTAGATGGTGCAGACCAGAGGTGGTATTCAGCAGGTTCTGACCAGTTCTGGAGAAATATATTGATAATGAAATCGCGGAAATTTTCAGTAGTTTGGAAAACAGGTAATTGCGACCGCTGACTGGCCCCATCCCATCTATTCTCTGCCTCCTGAGACGCAGCTGATCGGGAGGGATAGGGATTTGGTAGTAACCTTCCCCTGGAGTGAGGAGGGAATGGGGATTTTGCAGTAACCTTCCCCTGCCACGCCCACAGAACTGAATTGAATCCCACCACTGGTGCACACACAGCACCATCCCTCCAGTTATTACTTTTGACAACACCCTCAAGTCTTGTATTGGTTCAATATTTCATTCTCTTCCGTCACTTTCTCCCAGTGAAGTGCTCACTGAGGATCCTATTTCTCTTTGTTCTGGCGTGACTTTCTCCACATGGGTGTAGTAGATCCACTGCTTGATTCCTTCCAACATTAGAGAAATATGTTTTTGTTACTTTGTTTTTCCTTGAAGACATTTCGCTTCATATTCAAGAAGCTTCTTCAGTTCAGTACAGAAGAAACTTCTTGGATAAGAAGGGAAATGTCTGCAAGGAAAATAAAAGTCCAGTTGCCTTTTAAGAACACCTTTGGACAACCTCAACCTGGATGACTGACAATCTCCATAGACATCTGGATATGTTACCTTTGCTATTTGCATTGATAAAAGTTGATCACTGGTATGTTATTACACTGAGAGTATCCACCAGAGACACATGCCTTGTATGCCTAGTCACACTTGTCCAATGAGAGAATTCCCTTCCATTTCTATTTCTATATTCTATGCTATTTCTATTCTATTCTTATTCTTTCTAATCATATTTACTCTAGACTAGCACAAAGATCTAATATCCAAATGTTAATTCCTAGTTATACAAGGTAACTCTTCTTTTTAATGGATCAAGACTTTTCTGCTGCTTTGGAAGCTCTTCCCATATTCCATGCATTTCTACAGATTCTCCTAGGACACTTCTGTGGACATGAAGCTAATTTTGAGAATCAACACAAACCAATTAGCGTTGTCTTTTCCTGCTGTGCATCTTATGGCAACTAAAGTCATTCCAGGTTCTGGATTTCTTTCTACACTCCACACACTTATATGGCTCCTCTGGTGCAAATTCTTTTATGAACCGTAAGATTCCTGCCATCTCTGAAACTCTTTCCACAGTCAATGCATTTAAATGGCTTCTCTCTTGTGTGGATCCTCATGTGGAAGGTAAGCTTGCCACTGTCTCTGTAACATTTTCCACACTCCAGGCATTTATAGGGCTTCTCCCATGAGCGAAGTCTTCTATGGATCCTTAGTGAATGATTTCCACTAAAGCTTTTTCCGCACTCATGACATATATATGGTTTCTCCCCCCCCCCCCGGTGTGGATTCTCTTGTGGATACAAAGGTAACTATTTTTTCTAAAACTCATCCCACATTCCGTGCACCTATAAGGTTTCTCCCCTGTGTGAATCCTTTTATAGCTCATTAGTTCTCCAGAATCACATAAGAGCTTTCCACTCTCCTGTCACTGGTTTGTCCACAGTGTGAGTTCTGCTATGTAATATATAGCTATATTTTCCATTGAAGCTCTTTCCACAAGTGTGGCATTCATATGGTTTCTCCCCAGTGTGGAGCCTTTTGTGAAGAGAGAGAGTCCCCAGTCGAGTGAAGCATTTGCCACACTCAGTGCACTTATAAGGCTTTTCACCTGTGTGGATCCTTTTATGGACAGTAAGATTCTGTTGATTATTGAAGCACTTCCCACACTCGGTGCATTGATACGGTTTCTCTCCACTGTGGATTCTCCTATGGGAACTTAAGTTGCTGGAATCACCGAAGCTCTTTCCACACTCCAGACATTTGTATGGTTTCTCCCCTGTGTGGGTCCGTTCGTGGGCATGCAAGCTATCAGAACGGGCAAAATACTTTCCACATTGCAGGCATTGAAAGGGCTTCTCCCCAGTATGCGTCCTCCTATGTGATAAATAGCAATATTTTCCATTGAAGATCTTTCCACATGTGCGGCATTCATATGATTTCTCCCCAGTGTGGAGCCTTTTGTGACGAGAGAGATTCCCCAGTCGAGTGAAGGATTTGCCACACTCGGTGCACTTATAAGGCTTTTCACCTGTGTGGATCCTTTTATGGACAGTAAGATTCTGTTCATTAGTGAAGCGCTTCCAACACTCGGTGCATTGATACAGTTTCTCTCCACTGTGGATTCTTCTATGGAAACTTAAGTGGCTGGAATCACCAGAGCTCTTTCCATACTCCATGTATGCTTTCTCCCCTGTGTGGGTCCGTTCGTGGGCATGCAAGCTATCAGAACGGGCAAAACACATCCCACACTGCAGGCATTGAAACGGCTTCTCCCCTGTGTGGATTCTGTGATGAGCATTAAGGTTTGCTGAGAAACGGAAGCTCTTTCCACACTCCGTGCATTGAAATGGTTTTTCTCCTGTGTGGATCCTCTCATGTGACTTAAGATGACCTTTTTGACTGAAGGTCTTTCCACAGTGCAAGCATTTATAAGGTTTCTCCCCTTTATGCATCCTCTTATGTGAATTGAGATGACTTTTCTGCCTGAAGGTCCTTCCACAATCCAGACATTTGTGTGGATCCTCTGCTTTGTGAACCTTTTTATGTAATACAAGAGAGCAGTTTGTACTGAAACTTTCTGCACATTCTGTATATTTGAACATTTCCCCTCCTTTTTGTATTATTTCATGTAAAGGAGGAGGAAGGGTCCTTCTGGAGAACTCTTGCCTGCTTTCATCTTGTTTCTCTCCAGAAAGGCTTTCACTACAGTCACATAATCCAGATTCATCTTGGAGTGTTTTCCCACACCTTGGACACACTTCTTTTTCTTGGCAATCATCTGCGTCCAATAAGACATTGGTATCTGCACATGGGAAACCAGAGCAATTCTCCAGCTCAACCGTTAACNTAAGGCTTTTCACCTGTGTGGATCATTTTATGGACAGTAAGACTACGTGGATTATTGAAGTGCTTTCCACACTCAGTGCATTGATATGGTTTATCTCCACTGTGGATTCTTCTATGTATCATTAAGTAGCTGGAATGGCTGAAGCTCTTTCCACATTCCAGGCATTTATATGGTTTCACCCCCATGTGGGTCTTTTTGTGGGCATGCAACATATCAGAACGGGCAAAACACTTTCCACACTGCAGGCATTGAAAGGGCTTCTCCCCAGTGTGGGTCCTGCTATGTTTGATATAGCCATCTTTTCTATTGAAGCTCTTTCCACAAGTGTGGCATTCATAGGGTTTCTCCCCAGTGTGGACGTTTTTATGACGAGAGAGCGCCCCAAAATCAGTGAAGCATTTGCCACATTCGGTACACTTACAAGGCTTTTCACCTGTGTGGATCCTTTTATGGACAGTAAAACTCTGTTGATGAGTGAAGCGCTTCCCACACTCCGTGCATTGATACGGTTTTTCTCCACTGTGGATTCTTCTATGGGAAGTTAAGTGGTTGGAATAACTGAAGCTCTTTCCACATTCCAGGCATTTGTATGGTTTCTCCCCCGTGTGGATTCTGTTATGGGCAGTAAGGTGTGAAGAGCGATTGAAGCTCTTTCCACACTCCGTGCATTGAAATGGTTTTTCTTCCAAGTGAATCCTCTCATGTGACTTAAGATGACCTTTTTGATTGAAGCTCTTTCCAGAATGCAGGCATTTATAAGGTTTCTCGCCTTTATGCATCCTTTTATGTTTAGTTAACGTATCACGTTTGTTGAAGCTTTTTCCACACTCCAAGCATTCATAGGGTTTCTCCCCTGTGTGAATCCTCTTATGAGAAGTAAGGGCATTGGGGGCTTTGAAACATTTTCCACACAGTGTGCATTTATATGGCTTCTCTCCGGTGTGGACCCTCTTATGTAAACTGAAATTGCCTTCTTGTGCAAAGCTCTTTCCACACAGAGTGCAATGATACGGCTTTCCCGCTGTGTGGATCCTTCTATGGTAAGTGAGGTCACTTGCAGAGCGGAGGTTCTTCCCACATTCCGGGCATTTACATGAATTAGTCCCAGTGGGACTTTTTTTTCGGGAATTTGCTTCATTGCTCCGAGTAAACCGTGTCCTATTCTCCCTGAGTTGATGCAACTTCTCCTCTTTGTGGACACTTTGGTGGGATGTAAGGGAGTTGCTGTTTCTGAAGGTCTTTCCACAGGTGATGCATTGATGCTGCTTCCTCTCTTCGTGGACCCTCTTATGTAAACTAAGATGATTTTTCTGCCTGAAGTTCCTTCCACAATTCAGACATTTGTATGGATTCTCTGCTTTGTGAATCTTTTTATGCAATGTAAGAGAATGGCTTGTACTGAAGCTTTCTGCACATTCAGTACATTTGTACATTTCCCCTCCTCCTTGTATTCTTTCATGTAAAGGAGAAGGAAGAGTCCTCCTGGAGGGTTGCCTGCTTTCATCCTGTTTCTCTCCAGCAGGGCTTTGGCAACAGTCATATAATCCCAATTCATCTCTGAATATTTTCCCACACCTTGGACACACTTCTTTTTCTTGCCAATCATCTGCGTCCAATAAGACATTGGTATCTGCACATGGGAAACTAGACAAATTCTCCTGCTCAACCATTAACAGGTTTTCCTCAAAACTTTGCTTTCCATACATCTTTTCTGCAACATTATTTTTGTCTTTTGGCAAAGGTGCTGCTGCCTCTTGGCCAGAATCCTCCATCTCCCATCCGTCACCTGCTTGCAACAGAAAAAANGGAGCTGCTTTGTCTTTAAAACATGTTTCTCCTTTTCTCATCCAGGGAAATATAATATTCTGCCTTTTTAATGTTTCCTAAAATATTTCACTCTTCGGGGAGAGGGGTGGATGCTAACTTTAAACACACATGACAACTACGGCAAGAAAATTTGCAAAATGGGGCAAAATTGACTTCTCTAATTTCTCCTAGCTACAGAAATTTTGGGCTGAACTGCGGTTGAAAGTAGAGGACAACCTGTGTTTGAAGTGTTGAAGGGATGTGTCTGAGAGCAATAGGACTTTAGATGTATTAGACAACCATTTCTCCTTTTCTCATCCAGGGAAATATAATATTCTGCCTTTTTAATGTTTCTAAAATATTTCACTCTTCTAGGAGAGGGGTGGGTGCTAATTTTATACAACCTGTGTTTGAAGTGTTGAAGGGATGTGTCTGAGAGCAATACGACTTTGAGATGTAATAGACAACCATTGTTCAGTCCAAAAGGTCTTCCCCCAAAAGAGAATAAAGATACAAGGGGGGGGGCAACAAAAACTGCTTTCTTTTGATATTATCCCCACTAAATGCAGTCAAAAGACCCCCTAATGCTCCATAAGAGAATCCCATCAACCATTCCATTCTGAAGAGGAAGAAAATCTCTCAGCTAGGAAATATTTAATATCTAACTAAAAAGGCCTGAGCTAGAAAGATGTAATCCCTCCATTTAAACATCTATGAACTACGTAAGAAAAAGTGCTATTACACAGTTCAGATAGTCCTCGCCTTACAGCGGTTTATATAGTGACCGTTTGAAGTTTCAACAGCACTGAAAAAAATTAACTTATGATCCTTTTTCACACTTAACGACCGTTGCAGCATCCTCATGGTCACGTGATCAAAATTCAGGGACTTGGGAACTAAATCGCATGTATGATCGTTGTAAGGTCCAGGGTCAACTGATCAGCTCTTGCGACCCAGCAAAATCAATGGGAAAAAACAGATTCACTCAACAACCGTATTACTAATTCAACAACTGCAGGGATTCGCTTAACAACAAAGGCAAGAAAAGTCACAAAATTCACTTTTTCAAACATCTCACTTAACAACGAAAGTTGGGGGCTCATTTGCAGTCGTAAGTGGATGAATACCTAGAGAAGATATTTGCCTCCTACTTGTACAGCTCCAAGCCTATCAGAGTATGCTTGAAGTCTGCAGAGAGAAGGTTCCTGGCGTATTCCCCAATTCCTCCTCAAGAACTGCTCTTGCCATCTGCTTGAAAGAAGGAAGGAGATCCTTCTGGATTCAAAAGGCACTTTTGGTTTTTCTTATCTTTCCTGCTCCAACTGCCTTACCAGATGTGCCCATGCCTCTAATTGAACACATTGAGTTGGGAGATTGTAAGCAAAAAGTTTATTGTGCAGAAAAAGTAACACAAGGAAATCTCCCTCAAAGCCTTTGTACCCCACCAACGTCCACTGGAGGGTTTTACACATTTGTCACAGTTTACAAGTCAGAATCAGGAGGAATTTTTCCATCTCCCTTTACAGTAATTCCTGCCTCTTTTAACTAACATCTTAACCTGCCTACATACTGGAATATGTAACAGACTCAGCCAAGCTATTTATTTATTAATCTATTCTAATGTGTGCACAGAGAAACCTCAACACTTTTGTAAATGTAGCTTCATCTTTCCGTGATACTTCCTATTTGCAGCATACTTCTTCTCCGAGTCTCTCCTCTTTAGCCCTTTTGCCTTCTCCCATTGTACATTTGGGGTTCTGGTTTAGCAAGCTGAAGCATTTATGCTGTTCTCCCCAAAACTGCCAGTTAATCAACACATTCTTAACATACATGATTCTGCCTTAATAATAAATTGAAGGGAATAATAATAACGACAACAACAGCAGCAACAACAACAAAAGGTAAAATTAGTGGAACATAATAAAAGAATCAGTTTTGCTTTTCTAAGAATTCTTTGCTAAGGACTGGAATTGCCTTTGCTATTTGCTTTTTACCAGTGATCCAACTTCTGTTATCTTGTTTTTTTGTACAACTCGATGCCTGGTGCATATCTCAAGAAGCGGGATATGTCAAGGCTTTG